TAAATGCATAGATGAACAAAATACAATGTACCAGAAAGAAATTACAACAACAACGATAATAAAGAAAGGCTAACATCAAGTCTAAGGTATAAAATGCTAAAAAAAAAACTATATAAAGTGGTATCGATCTAGGTTCTAATGGCTTCTTCTCTCTCTTGTTGAAACATTTTGATATATACTTACATACTTCATTGATGACATCTGGATACAACAGATCCCTACTCCAAGCGGTACGTGACTGACGGAGTGACGTCTGGAGACTGCTCTTCACCGAGCTGCGGGTCGAACTCCGAGTGCACCTGCGGGTCCGAGACCGGGGAGTACGAGTGCGCATGTAAGCCTGGATACTACGGAACCGGCAGAGGGGCACCGTGCACCGGTAGGTTTGAACTCTAATCTTCTTCTTCTTCATTACTGCCGAGCCCTATACAGCGTAGGACTTTTGGCAGCCGTTTCGTTTTGTTACTTACAATTGTGAACCGGTACATAAAAAACAAAGGGAAAAAAGGATAATCGAGAAGGGAACATAAAACAACTGATTTTATGTGTGCTAAAGACGAGACAAGTGCATTAGTGCGTTAGTATATTTACATTATAAGAGACATTATGGGGTGGCTCAATGCAGCAGGGTCCTCGCCAGTTCAGATTTGAACTGGGCGCCTCCACCGCACAAGAATCCAATAAGCTCGTTCACAATTTCAAGTGTGCATGCGCAGCGTGATGTATTGTGGGTAATATGTCAAAGTTGACGGGCATACATTCCATGAAATTTGTCATGTCCAACTACCATATCTGCTTACGTAGGCCAATTTCTGTACACTTTATTTCATAAGCGAGACCATGACCATATTGTAACTCAAATACTGTTTAAATAGTAGTTTGTAGTAAGAAATGCAATAAGATAGTTTAGTTTTGTAGCATTGTTGTATTTCTGCCACACATTGTACCATGTACGATTGTCGAGCAATAAAGTTCATTCATTCATTCATTCATTCATTCTTTTTTTGTAGAGCAAAGACTGAGAATGACAGTAAAGGGGCATAAAAACTCACCTACCTGAAGTTTAGGCCACGGAAAACACACATATTGACCTCTATAATAATTCAAACAAAAAATCATGGTATAACGAGTACCTTGATACGAGAATACCTCAAGGACATAAAACTAACGTGATCTACATGACATGATTGTACGTTAATCCCTCACACTCTCCAAACCTTGTCCTTCCTCCAGCGTGTCCGAAAGGCCGCTACAAGGAACTCCTGGCGCCCAGCGTGTCGGGATGCCCGGGGACCTGCCCGGCTAAGAGCAGCACCAAAGGCACGGCGTCCACCAGTCCCAACCAGTGTGTCTGTAACGAGGGGCATGAAGGAAACCCATGGGGCTCAGGGTGCAAACGTAAGGTTTATGTTTATTTGAATGATCTCCATTAGTGAGTATACACTTATACCCACTATTCTTCCTGGAGTCTTAAAACACGTTACAGACTTATAACACAGACGTACACTTCTTACTGCTATACATAAAATACAACAACCTGTAACTAATTACTTATTTAACCTATCCTATTCTATATACACCAAGTAATGAGCTCGAGGTAAAAGCTTGTTTGAGAGGTCAGAGGTCAATCATACAAGTTATATATTTACATTTACATTAATACATACAAGTTATATATTTACATTTTAAAAGTTACTATGCTACCACCAATGCTGCAGGGGTCTGTTTGTGTATGTTTGTGTTTTTAACCTGTCCTTGACGTGTTTTTTAAAAGTCTGATGGTGCGGATGATTTGATGTGTTGTGGGAAAGTGTTGTAGGATTTTGTGCACCTGTACAGAAATGTCCTAGTAGCAGAGGAAGTTCTGGGTTTTGGTAGTCTAAAGCCCCCCGCCTGTGAAAGTCGTGTGTTGTGTTGATGTGTGTTGTTGATTCTGCGTAGTTTATTGTAGATAGTAACAGGTTTGCCAGTGGTCAGGAGTTTGTGGAACGTGGAGAGTGTGTTTGTGTAAAGTCTTTCGTTAACTCTTGGCCAGTTTAATCTACTGTGCAGTTCGTCTATCCTGCAGTTATACTCTGCATTTAACACAAGCCTAGCCGCCTTATTTTGTAAAATCTGCAACCCGCTCAGACTGAGAACTGGACGACAGAAGACAGGAGCAGTAGTCCAGATGACTCAGGACAAGTGTTTGAGTTGCTGTCTTTAGCGTGTCACCCGTGAGAAAGTCACGTGATCTAGCAATTACTGCTAGAGCACTTGCCATTTTGGATTTAACCTTGTCAAGGTGTTGGGCTAAGGTTAACTGCTGGTCTAAAAATAATCCTAGCAGTTTCGCCTGCTCTACCTGTTCAATCGGCTTATTGTGCATTGAAAGCTGTAGGGTAGGATTGTGTTTTAATTTGTGTCTACTTCCAAAGACTATGGACTTGGTCTTGTCGACATTTAATATTAGTCTGTTGGCTTGAACCCAGTCGCTGATGTGCGTCAATTCAGACTGAAGAATGGTCTGAATATCCGCGGTATTAGGGCCAGCAGCTGACGGGGTTGTATCGTCTGCATATAATACAATGTCGCAGCGTTTTACAACTGTGGGTAGATCGTTTGTATATATGCAGAACAGTAGTGGGCCCAGACAGCTACCCTGTGGAACACCGCTATTGATCTCTGTGTAAGCAGAGATGTCGCCATTTACATAAACAGCCTGCATGCGGTTTCCCAAGTAACTGCTCATCCAGCAGACGGCTGAGTCAGCAAAGCCGTAACTTCTCAGCTTGGCCAGTAATATTTGATGGTTGACCACATCAAATGCGGCACTGAAGTCTAAAAGCACCGCGCCAACCATGTTCCCCTTGTCAATTTCGTCAAACCATTTGTCCGTCAACTCAATCAGTGCAGTTGCGGTGGAATGATGCTGTTTGTAAGCATGCTGATGGTCAGACAAAATAGCATTGGAGACAAGGTAGGATTGTATCTGTTTGTTGCATATTTTTTCCAGTATTTTACTGAGAGCAGGCAAGAGACTAATCGGGCGACTGTTGGGGCCTGTCAAAGGAAGAGACTTGTTCTTTGGAAGAGGTATAATCTTAGCTCTTTTCCATTGTGTGGGGAAAATCTGTTGTCGTATAGAGCAGTTAAAAATGTGACAAACTGGGCCCGCTATGTAATCGGCGGCGATTCGCAATAGCGTATTGTCGATGTTGTCAAACCCCGTGGATTTGCTGAGTGGAAGTGAATTTTAGCAAATCATGTACATAGCCCACTGTTACACCATGAAAGGAAAAAGAACTAGTTTTTTGATGCCATGAGGTCCTTAACCGGTGCAGTGACTTTATCTATGTCGACAGGACTTTGTGATGTAAGATTCTGTACTTTGTTAACGAAGTACTCATTAAAATGTTCCGCAATGTCCTTAGGTTTTGTCAGTATTTTACCGTTAGTCTCAATGAACGTTGCGGTTCTGCGTGAGTTTCTGCCGAGTATGCCGTTAATTACTTGCCAGAGCTGTTTGCTGTTCCTGTCTCTGCAATGTGTTTCTATTAATTCTTTG